GGCAACGTAGAATAGAAAACCAAAGTATATGGAATTGACGTAAATTTTGACACTTGTCAGTGTCATCCACATACATTTTGATTTTTCTACTCTCTCTGTAGACAAGCGCTAAAGTGGCGTTTGACTAAAGGCCAAGGTCATGTTGCTAGAACTATTAGAACTTTCCTCGAGTAGCTCACATGGGTATGAAATATCAATTATTAACTTAACAATAATTCAACTTACTTCTGGAGTATTCATCTTAAGCCAAGTGTAAGCTTCGCGGAAGTCGTCGAAAATAATCCTGGCGCCGTCATGCGCCCGCGCGGACAGTACGATGGAGGGCGAGGAGTACGCCTCGGACGTGACCCACGTGCAGTGGAACACGTACGATATCAGCAGGCAGCCCAGCACGCACACGAATAGAGCTCCCACCTGGGGACAATAGCTTTTGTTACTCTCTTTTAATATTGTTTGTGCACAAACATTTTAGTTTATCTGTCTCTACAAATATATCCCTGCTTCGAGATTATGGCAAACCCTTCTATTAAAGTCTAGTATAATAACTCTTGGATAATGTTTTTGTATATTATTCCAACGACAGATAAATTGTTTTCGTGGGATAATATTAAATATTTGACAATTCTTTTTCCATAATAAAAACTGTGAAAAGGCAATTTTATTCTACATTTCATTTCTGTTGATTGAAAAATCAGCTCGAAGTTCATTTTAAAGCAACTGATGGATAATGTGAATTATATTATGTTAGATTAGGATTAATTTGGTCTCCCGCGGCAACGAGCTCACGTGGGAGGAGATACTGGGGTGGTTTTAGCCGGTAAGAGTCAGGCACACCCCTCCGCGGTTCCCCAGGCGGAGGCAGTCCATGAAGATTTCCCCCCCCATTAAAAAAGGTATCAGTAACTGATACTACTGGACTTTGGGCTCACAGCGTCCTTACAAAAGTGAGTTTGTTAAAATCTCTGCACTTAGCAGGCGGGTTCAGGTTCGTTCGGTTCAGGTTTATCAGAGTGCTATGCCTGGTCTCTTTAGTAATTTTACATAACAAAATCTACATACCTCAGATCTAAACACTAAATTATTTTCATGCTTCTTCTTCTTCTCGTGTTTCTCAACTTTAGGTTCAATGTCCTTTACATGTAGACTGAGCAGACTGGACGCCGCAACTCCTGACACTATGCACATGACCGGAGCCAACACTAGCATTAAACGCACCATCACACCCTGTACAACAAGAAGAGAGTTAGAGAAAGAGTTGGCGAGAGTGGAGTAGGAGTTTGAGAATAGAGATATCAGCGATCAAAGTGTGAAAATCATGGGCGGAGTCAACGGAGTGAACTCTACGTGACTCGACGCGCTCAAAGCTTCATTGTGTCATCATTATATTGTGAGAAAATAATTCGTAATGATATTATGTACCTTACCAACAAAAAAATAAGTATCAACTTACGGCGAAATAAATGCTGAGCACTCCGTACAGGATGATGAAGATGTTAGCATCGGTCAGCTTACTGAAGCAGAAGTACAGACCAGCGGGGAACAGGAACACGAGCACTTGAAGGTCGAAGTAGAATGATGACCAGGAAGTCGGCTGATGCTCAGAGACCGATGCTGGGAAATGAAAGGTATGTGTACAGTTACAGAGTATAATTTTAAATGCTATATTTGTGGTAATAAAGTCTAATTTAGTTTGGCTAGACTCGTGTTGTGGGGAAACGAAACTTATGAATGTAGTGACAAAGTGTAATTTTGCTTGAAGTCTTATTAGTTTGTAAGTACTTACCGATGATAGGAATGTGGTTCTTGGCGTATGACGGGTCCAGTAGAGAATAGAAACGTCCAGTCCATGGCGAGATTTTACCTACAACGAAAACATAACATAGAGATGTTTGGACAGAAGTAACAAATAAAAACATTTTACAATTGAAATACATACATACATAATTATTTATTCTAGTTTTTTGTTTAAATGATTCAAGTGGCTAATGGTTTTTTCAGTGCCTAATAAGTAATAATCATATAACTCAAGAGATTGATTTTATTAAGATAAAAAAATATACAATGTTTAAACATCTCACCGGTAAGTGTAAGGGCGACCAAGGCAGTTCCTAAAGTAGCGAGCAAGGTGGTGAGCAGCGCTTTGAATAGCAGCTCGAAGTTGGCCGGGGACAGGTGCTCGCGCAAGTATTGGGTGAAGGCATACAGCTGGCAGAGACCGAATGTACCTAAAGCCTGGGGAATAAAGTCATTTTTCAATTTAGAGGCATTAAATATTGACATAAAAAGGATATTATTTTGGACATATCATTATATGGTTGTTTTACTAGAGGTAATAATAATAAAATCTGTATGTTTAATTGAAGCATGTGAAATTATGACCACAGTAAACATTATTTACATCGCAATATTCACATTCACAAAGCTGAAAAGTTTATTTATATCTTACGAACTTGCACGAATTAACAGAGGCCTTAGAACAAATTTGGTTTACGTTTAAAATAATTTACGAGACCGCGTTCGACGTTCTGAGTACCAAGCAGGAATAACTATCGCATTCGTAACGTAATAGTATCGAGCGCGTTCGGCGCTCTGATTGGCCGGCACAAGTGAACCAACCAATCAGAACGCTTAACTCGCTCGATACTGTTACGATACGAATGCGATAGTTATTCGTGCTTGGCCCTCTGATTGGTTTGTTCATTGAAACCGGCCAATCAGAGCGCCAGACACGTACTCGCACTAACTAAGCTCTCAGAGTCATTAGTACGAGTTTGTTTTACGATTAAAATAATCGACTCGACACCGCGTTCGCCTTTCTGATTGGTTGGTACATTGGAACCGGCTAATCAGAGCGCCAGACGCGTACTCGTTTTAACGTAACACAAACTCGAGTTACACAAAACACAAAAAAAAGTAACTAACCCGAGATCGCGTTTGGCACCATCTGTACAGTTGACACACTAAAAATTCTTTTTAGCAATAAAAATAAAACTTTTCGAAACTCACCAGCATATGTTCAGAGCTCTGTACAGGTTGGAAGCCGACGAAGGAGATTTGCATAGACAGGATAGTTCCTACACAGTACAGAGTGCTGTACGCCACGTACACTCGCGCAGAGAAGCGACCAAGCAGCATTAGAGCTAGCACGTGCAGAGGGATCAAGTTGATTAGGAACACATAGCCACCCCATGATGATACCTGTTGGAGAAGACATTTTGTTTAAAGAGGGGTTTAAAATTTTCTGGTATGGCTAATGAAATTAAATCTTATACTACCTATTACATAAAGCTGAATATTTTGTTTGTTAGACCGCAGTAATATCCGAAACTACTAGTCCGATTTCAATAATTCTTTTTCTGTTCGATAGTGCATTTATCGGGGAAGGCTATAGGCTATAAAATATCACGCTGCGATCAATAAGAGCTGCGCAGTGCGGGTAAAACCGCGCGGAAGCATATATAATAAGAGTAAATAAGTATCATTTAATGATATACATAAAGCAGTCTTTTAATTTAATAATATTGTTTGATTAATTTTTATTCACTGCCTGCCTGCCTCGACAGCCTCGTTGGTCGAGTGGTCGCAAGTGTTACTGCCGGGCAAGGGGTCTCGGGTTCGATTCCCGAAGGATTACTGGGATTTTAAAAATCTCAGTAATAGCACGGAGTCTGGAAATGTGCCTGGTATACGGCAATAGGCTCACCCCCTATTACATGGGACTCGTAACATAAAATAGTGAAAAGTGGGTGTTACATTTTACAGTAGCATTAAGTGCCGTAATGTGCACCTCTGCCTATGTTATGTAATTTTATCGAAAATACCTATCTACGAATTAAAAATGGCTTAATAGCTTAAGACCCTTCTTAGTTTTTAATAATGTTGGAATACACCAACAAACATTGTTTTTGTGTACGACAGAGCAAAAACCAAAAAGTTAATTTCAAAACTCATTGGTGTGAAACTGTCATCTGTTTGATCTTTGATTGGCTTTTAGTTATCTATGTTATAAGCATAGAAATCTTTTACAACAAAGTGTACCAGTAAAAAGTCAATCAGTGCTTAACAAATAACATAGGCAATATAATTTTATTGTTTGAGGTAATTTGAACAATACATTTACAGACTTTTCACAACTGCTCCGAAATTAAATAAACACATAATTAATATTTCAAGTAAATACGAATGTAACTAGTGTATGCAAATATTTCCGTATCGAAACTCCATAATTTACAATCACTGAAAAAGTTAATAAATTTACAATCACTGGCATAAATTACCAACATGCTTACCATGTAGAAATAAGCGAGAGCAGTCATGGTAGCCCAAAGTATAGTTCCAGTGTTAACTGCTTTGATCCAGAAGTAGTATGTCAGCAGCATGCAGAAAATGGCAATGCCTTCGTTATCATAACTTCCTGCAACTGAACGACTGATGTAGCCCGGCACTATGGCAATCATGGCGGCCGCCACGAGACCAGCACCTTCATCCTGTTGAATTAGAGATTATATTACTTTTCGAAAATTTTCCTGTTATTGGTAATTGCTACACACTCTTAAATAACATAACAGGATGACAACAGTAAAATCCATAACTGGTAAAAGTGAGTGTACTACCACAACTACATGCATATTTGTTTGCCCTATGTCACACTATGGCCCTGTAGGATAACAAGATAGGTGACTGCACAGTTGGTGCAGTGGCTGGTTCGATTCCAATGAACACCTCTTTGAGATCCACAAGTAATTGTTCTAGGTCTAGGTATGAGTTGTATCTGAATTTGGTTGTTTGTAAACACAGCCAAAACACAGGACAAGTTTCTAATGTAATATTAAAAAAAAATAAAAAAAAAACTAACCTTCAACTCCTTAGTCAGGAGGTAAGTGACAATAGTGGTGAGTGATGAGAAGAATGGAGCAAGGAATACGCACACATTCCGAATGTCTATGGTTATGTTCAGGAACTGCATGATGTTGTACAGAGTGGCCGATGTGACCATCAGACCTGGGTAGATGGTACCTGGAGACAACAATTTAAATTACCTAAGCATAATATTGAGTTGGATGTAGGTTGCTTCCAGTCAGCTTATCTGGAAGTCATTGAGAAGGCCTATGTTCAGCAGTGTATGTCTTGCGGCAGATATGATGATGAAGCATAATATCTATGATTACTACTATACAGTAAAATAACTTAATTTTAAACTGAGTATGTGTATTTAACCAGTTGAAATTTGTATACAAAAGTAGTCTCTACACATTGGTAATAAAGTCTATAATGTAGTTAGTGGAGAGCAGTCACCAGTGACTTGGGATATACAAGTTAATAAATTGTGATTTCAGTTCAGCCATGATCAACTCAATACACTTTAAGCAAAGCTTTCTTGATGAATTTAATTGCTATAGAATCATACTAATATTATGAATCTGAAATTTAGTGAGTTTGCGTGTGTTTGATACTTAATCATGTCAAAACAAGGATGGATTATGGACTGGAAAAACACATAGGCAACTTTTTATCACTCGGGGATACAAGTGAAGCCATTGTCAGAAATTCAATACAGTTAAATGTTAAAGTTTAATATTGAATTGACATTTTAAATATAGGGATTGTGTGACATTTGATTACAAACATCATCATCAACAGCCGAAAGACGGCCAATGCTGGACAAAGGCCTCCCCCTCTGTAAAAAATTCCAACACTAAAATGTATAGTATGCAATGACTAAAGGTATGAATAGCCTATAATAATAGCCATTTAGTAATAGTCATAACAAAAAAGTTTAAAATGTGTATTTTAGTAATGCCAGCCAGTAATAGTCATATCAGCATAATATTATTCAACAATTCAGTCATATAAATGTTTTATTACTATAAACAACTTACCACCAATGATACGTCCAAGTGGGTACCATGCTCTATCATCAAACCAATTGTGGAAGTTGTAGAACCCTTGCTCGGTTAGATATCTAGTTGTTCTGTAGTTGAAATAAGGGTCAAATTCGTGGATCACACTCTCGAAACGTAAAACTGAGAATAATCGTGTTCCGAAGGCTGAAAAAAAAAATTAAACATTAATGCATAATACTATAGTAAGTACAGTTACGACATTCGAGAATGAAGCATGCAGTTAAAACTTGGCAACAAAGGTATTACTATTATGTTCATTTTAATAAGAATCAGGAAAACCGACACGTAAATTTGAATAAAGTATTTTATCGATCAAACTGATCGCAACGTGTATGATAGGTACTACCTACAGCCTTGTAGGATGGGTTTTTCAGTACGATGCCGGGTCGACTCCGTGGTTTCTCTATGCGGGGTTTTTCAACCCTATTATGAACCCAATAAATAATATATCTACCTGAATTTGCTTGAATAGTGTGAAACAACTATCACATAATATTTGTTGACGCTAAGCCAAACGACTTGTACTGTTTTTCTAAAGTTGCTACATTTTATCGCCATTGCTTATCACAATAGGACCACGTAAGTCATTACAAAAATCGATCTAATTCATGTTGTAACGATTACGACTTGGTGTAGTACAGTTCTTACACAAGTCTAAATGCTAATTAACTCTTATAAATACTCACATAATATTGCTGCCATTGATAAAACAGCTAATTTTATAAATGTTAGTTGTTTGTCAGACGAAAGCTGCGGGAGCTTCGTCTTAGGTTGCACCTCCACCGTCATTTTGTGTTAGTGTTATATTCCTTGTTTCTAATATGTTACATAAATAATCCTGTTGAACAATATTTTGAAATAATTTTAAGAAATAATTCGCCGGCAACCTATCCCTTTTCGTTTTTCGGCGACGCAAATTGACAGATCATGAGCGGCGTGGCATACTTTATTGCCATGTCTAATGTACAGTGTGGCCCTATACAATTTGAAGAAAAAAAATTTACAATGCAGTTTTTAGTTAATAAAACAATCTGATTCTTAGTATTAATAATTTACTTAATTACTCAATATTAATTACGTAATCAAAACATCTGATCTCACATACATTTAAAAAAAATTGTCATGAAAAAGTGTGTATTGAAGAAAAGATTGTGCTCGCTTGAGTGCCAAGGTATATAATTAATAAATATCTAAAACAAAATAATAGTGCCGTGATAGAGCTGTGCTGTGATAAAATAGAATCTATCAAAAAATAAATAACTATCGATAAATCCATCGTAGATATCTTGGAAGAACGAATCGTATCAATAAAAATGACACTGACACTGACATACCACTACTTTGAGCATATAAAATCTCTTGTCTCTTTCACTGAACAGTTTTTCTATTACAGCTTTCTCACTCTATGTCGAAGTATAAGATTTTTAAAATAATGATCTGTCATTCTGACAATCTGAACAACCGACCCACTCAGACAGATGATTTTCGGACAGAAAATCTTTCTTTTCGTCACTGTCTCGAAAAGTCGAAATTAATCTCGGGTTTTTGACCGTGTTTCTTCCAAGTTCCGACACTACGTGGTTTATTTATAAATATACATATCGTAGAGACCTATAAAAAATAATTCACGTTTATTTTTTATTTAGTAATTTAGTTTTTACTACATAGGTCTCGTAAAAACGAGATAAATCTGTCCCTCGTAGTTCCGTATATGACTAATACATTGTCGGAAGGAAGATCAATTTGGATATGAATTGTGTGGAACTGTAATAGTGGTGTGATATTATTTGGCGGGTTATTTTATGTGATGTCTGACGGAGATCCATCTCTCGAAGAGGATGTGCCAAAACCTCTACTTAAACAAGAAGAAAATGTGTTTACGCCGAAGATAGCGACTCCTTTATACACGGGCGGTGTGAAACTGCATCACAAGAGATCTGACACTGGAGAGACTGAATCCTTCTTGTCTGATGCACAAAGGAATGAGCTTGCATTCCAGCAACTATTCCAAGATGGAGCTGGAGCATTTCACGAGGTAAATTTTAAAATTGTTTGGGCTGTTTAAAGGTTGTCATGGTCAGAAAAAGTAAGCTTTATGCCTTTTAATATCTCTTACTAATTTGTGGGATTCTCTGGTTTCTAGATTATTAAATCTGTCGGTTTTTAAAACCAGACCTATTTTATGCATAACTTTGCTTTCATGACCATAAGCAATTAACTTTTTCAAGGTAAAATGAGGTTGAACTTTGCTTTCATTATAAAATTACAATGTACATAAGTACACTGTACAGAACATTATCAAAATCATAGGGGCTAACATTCTGGTTTTTGTAAATTGTTATTGGATTATTAAATTTCGAAATAAATTTTAATCAGAACAGATAGCTGTGAATGTATTAGGATAAAATGTGTAAGGGCAACTTCACTTGAATAAAGAAAAACAAACAAGTTTCCCTACCTACCACTTAATTGTTAATTTATAGCACTATGATAAGGCCATAAATAAGATATTTATTATCAAATGACTGTACATTTTTTGCTGCAGCTGATACACTTATCAGCTCAACAATTTTTTCTCACCAGTTAATTTATCCCACAGATAATAAAAACTGACACAATAATTTCCCTCCATTTTTGTAAATGGAAACATTGGATTGGAAACTGCAAGCTTTATTGCTCTTCTAAGGACAATGCCCAAAAATGTATAGAGTATAAATCCAGAATCAATTAAATGTAGGTATGTAAATATACTGAGAAAAGCTCTGCTAGTTTCAAGTCACAGATTGACTCTTCCTCATCACATAATCTATCACATAGTCCATGAATGTTTTTATTGACTGGGTTTTTTTGGGCATTCTCCGTTGTATCTGTATTTGCCCAGTATTTTCTATATAGAGATGTCCCACTGAGTTAATAGCCACTAAAGCTACAGGGTGCCAATAAGAATAATAAAACTTTTGTCTTAGTTCTACTCTATAGTCACTTGTTGATTTACATTGTTAGTAAAAGTACCTAATTATAATGTAAGTGCCTAACATACAAATAGACAAACAGAATCAATCCTTGACTAAAGGTAATATCAATTAACTAAATACTATACCTAAATGAATTTTGGCTGAATGACTGCATTGTTAGAGGTATTATTGATGGTAAATGATGATGTAGCAAAACTGTTTAGTGAAAAACTAATAAGAAAAACCAGATTACATACTAAAAATACTGAAGAAAATAACACATTTTTGTGTGATTACCAAGAATTAAATTTAATGAAGGTCATGAAAAAAGTTTTTAAGACAATTTTCCTCAATTATAAATAAAAAAATTGTTTACTTTGTGTTTGTTCACAATATTATTATGATAATTCCAATCCAATGTTTTAATCATAATCTGATAAAAAAAAATGTTTATTTGGTGTAAAAAGTCAGATAGATAGTGGTGATGGCTTATTGCAGTTAATATTTATGTACCTATTAATAAATAATTAGCTTATTAGTTTTTTAATATTATGTACTACCTACTTAATTAAATACATTCATTAAGTCTATTTTACATGACTGCAGAAAAAATAATGATTTCATCGGTAATTTTTTTTTAAATCATTTGGAATTTATAAAAGTTAATAAAAATCTTTTTTTTTACTTTTTCACTAAATAAGCTACAATATTAAAAATAGTATTTTACTTATCAACAGTGACAAAACATGGGGGAAGAATTTCATATCTTTCCATTTATAAATTTAAAAATAAAAAGATGGAATAATATGTATCCATTAAAATGTATTTCCAGCAGCTGCGAAATGGACTTTGAATATTAAACAAATCAAATATTAAATAACAATATCTATAAATAATTTCATAAGTACAGAATCAATATATAGTTTTCCCTCACTTATGTAACTTGTTGTTTATGGAGCTGATGACCCGCTTTTCTGCATTAGTTTCCTTTTAGATCAATGTCAGCAGTAAAAAAAACTATAACCATAATAAAAACAAAAGATTCACTTAAATTATAAGTAAAAAGATCGTCACAGATCATAATAATATGCTATAATCCTTATCGAGTGATGTCGCGCGTTTACGCGCGTTCTTTCTTTTCTCAAAAAATATAGTGAAGTTATGTCATTTACGAAAGATAAATTATTTCTATTGTTTTTAATTCCTGGAGAGATCTGCTTGAGAAGATCATAGGAGCGTCTTCATCCGTGTTTTCGTGGCTCTTATGTTCGACTCCGGTTATCCGAGTTTGTCCGCTGTATAGATAATCCTCGTTAAACTAATTAGAAAATATTAACTATGCTATAACGCAAATGCCTACATTTTTTACCTTCGTTAAATTCGCCACGCTAATCGCAATGGTGTTTAGCTAATAAAGATAAGTGCTATTCGTAACTGCTCGTTACTTTAAAAAATAGGGGTTAGTACTCATTGATTTAGAAGTACACGCGATTATTGTCCGAAAATGTTTACTGAGATAAGAGACAAATCCACTTGAAATCTCAAGTCCATTATTATAAACATATTACATAAAACAAGGAGCTCCTTGATAAATGTTTACAAGTTCACTTAATATACAATGTTATCAGTTAGATACCGTACTTGTACTTTCTTTATCGTGTCTAATGTTTGTCCAAAACTAGATTTACTACACTATCAGTTCGTTTTGTACTGGATTCGTTGTTAGGTGAAATATAGGTGGTTTATAGGCATATGATGATTCATGTTGAGTGGTTTAATCATCAATAGTTTCCTTATACATAGGAAATTAAAAACAAAATTGGCGAAAAGCGTTATCTTCTCCTCATTGAAGAAAGTACAAGATTAACTAAATGACTTTTGAAGTACTTACGTAAATAGCATGATAAGGTTTCCTATTAACGTCTTCGATAATACAAAGAGAGGTTCATCATCATAATTTCAGCATGATATGACTTGAACAAGCAAAGAGTCTGTACACTGACGACGGCGACCGATAATAAACAAAATACTTGTCTCTGACGATTTGCGTGGGAATGGATGGGGTATAGGCGGGAGGTCACGATGCCGGACACACGTGTTAAGCACTTCGAGTCAAACATTTCAATAAACGAGATTTTTATTGTAACTTCCGTGAGACACGTGTTTATTGTTGTATAATTTTAGTAGCTGATTTACAGTTGCTTATCGACGTGTACGATTTGCGTCCGTGTCTAACGTGACATGCGGTTATAGCAAACAATTTAAAAGCATTGCTGCAGAATATTTGTGTGTTGTTGCTTTTCCTTTTGACATTGACCTTAAGTTTTGCAGTAAATATTTGGCCGCAATCCCAATGTTATGTAAGGTGTAAGGAATGCATCGCCAGCAAAGTTCTCGAGCCAGTCGCGTCATGCGTGTCGCGTCGCTTTGGCTAGAAACAGCGGTGTGCACTATCCCTTACATATTAGCGTGCCGATTACCAACATTTACCCTCAATATACCTCTGAACAGTTTCCTAAACAGTCGTCAATACAAGAGTAAATTCATTTTTATTCAAACAATAATGTAGTGCTGATAGCAGAGAAACGTTATTGTACCTATTTACTAACAGTGTGAAGCCTAACATGTGATGATTCTTGATAGATAGCTCGTATCTCAAACTAAACTTGTAAGATCGCTGGTCAAACAGATGATTCAAACTCAAGTCAGCGTTGAATAGTGAACGAAGCAAGGTCAGTCGCTACGTGTCTGTAATTTGAGAGTTTATGCAGTTTTTGTGAACAATGTTGATAATGAGACGATTTATTGAAGGATACTGCTAATTAGTGTTTGGAAACGTTCAAAATTAACCAATAAGAAGTGAAAAGAATTTAAAATATGCGTGTGTTATCAAAAACTGTTCTAATTATTTGTTATCTGCGCTGAATCTAGTGTTGTTGAACCATTGACGTGTGATGTGATTCAACAATGAGTCTTATGTGTGAATTTATAAAGATTTTTAGCATGACAATTAAGGAACGTGTTGTGGAAGACGGTGACTGATTCGCTTACTGTTTGGGGCAGGCGGAGAGGGAGGCCCAAGAGAACGGGGAGCTTCAGGCGATGTCGGTGCTCGGTTCGTACCCGGACAATCTGTCGCAGGACATGAACACCGACCGGTGAGTGTAGCCTCACAAATTCACAATGCAAATGAACTCCACGATGACGTTTAAATGAGTCACCGACAATTTTGGCAGGTATTCCGTATTTGTTGTGACTAAAAAGAAATGTACATTGGGGAAACCGAATCGTTATTGCCTTTCTGCTGAAAGACTGCTCGTATGTAATATGTATTATGTAACTCCAAATGCTACTGATATAAGCTGTTAAGCCCACGTCTTTAATATTTTCTTTGCTAGATCAATACCACAGCGACGCGACAGTATTTTGAAGGTCCATTTAATACCTATCTACAGGGCGTAACTTTTTACGCTAAAAATAAAATGATGATACAGTTTTGTGATCGAATCATTGTCCTTTGGGGAGATTGACGTCACACAATGACAATGGCTAACTCTAATTAATATATGTATAGGTAATTTATTTCCCAAAGGTTTACCAATCCTTTCAATTTTGACATTTCCTTCATCATTTTTGTTCTGTCCTTTCTTTAGTCTATCGATATGTACTAAAACTAATGTCTACTTTTAATGAACAAAGTGGGTTACTTGTTTCAATGAATTAAATGCTTTCTAATGTATTTATAAACTAAATGATAATGCTATATTTTGCCGGCTAGGTTACATAGATACATATTTCCGTTCAATTATTATGATAGTGTCTTTCATAAAGCCATTACGTATAAAAGCAACTCGATTTTTTTATATATTTTCTATTTTGATTCCGAAGGCTTAACGAATGGGTTTACCTATCTAATAAAGAATAGATTCAGATATTGATAGCTGTACAACATGACATGTGTTATTTAACTTATGTCAGAGGCCTTAGTACGAGTTTGATTTACGTTTAATGTATTCGAAACGAGTACGCGTTCGACGCTCTGATTGGCCGGCACCAATGTGCCAACCAATTACGGCGCCGAGCGCGTACTCGTTACGATTACTTTAAACGTAAAAGAAACTCGTACTAAGGCCTCTGTTACACACACACACAAATGCTGAGTTTATCTGACGCATAATTTGACGTATATGCGAGTGTAAAAGATTTGTCAGACGTCGTATGAATGAGATATTGTGAAACAGGCCTTTAATGTTTTAATTTCATTTAAAGGTATAATAATTATAGGTACAAATAATAAATATTACACACACTAGTTGTAGTTAATAGGTACACTGTTTTTACCACAGTTACTAAAATAAATGTTTTATATTAATAACATTCACACTACTTAATTAACTAAACTAAATTGTAACTGGTGTGTTTTGACTTAATTGCGAAAATGGTAACGTTTTTCCTTATATTTTATATTGTAAAAAGGTTGCATTGTTTCAAATCGAATTATGGTTCTTTATGGACAGTTTTATAGTTACATCGACCCTATTTTATAGTCTAGGTTTTATTTTATTTACGTTTATGATTTGATGTTTCATTGTAACCTTGACTTTGGCTTAAAATACCTAGGTAACTACGTAGGTGGGTATTTGAATTATTGTGAAAGATCTATGCATTAGCTTGGTCAGTGTTTACTGCTTACGTCATGGTCCTGTGGTTTTGTGTCGTGTGAAAATATAAAATAGAGGTCAAAGTCTAATGACAAAATATGAATTGATAGGCTGTAATTATTTTTAGGTGATGGTAAGGCTTTTTTAATTTGTTTGATCATTTTTTTTTATTAATTCAAACAAAAAGAATGCTGCGCTTTTTCGCGCGTTTGCATGACATGACTTTCAAAATGGCGAGCAAACATTGAAATTCATGCATGTTCTTTTTATGAAACTGGCCGGTTATAACTTTATAGGTGATGGTAAAATATCTATTAATAAACATTCTTCAGATTCAGTTTATTTCTATATTTATTTCATTTAAATATTACCTAATGGCAATGTTTATAAGGTCGACATTTGTTTACGATTGCGGCACGTAGATTGAATAAATCGTTATTCCGAAAGTCGACAGCTTGGACGATATTCCTTCAAGTCGTTTCTGGGAAACGTGATCGATAACGACCCGTTGCCTGTCCTAATCGTGTTCCGACATTTTGCCATTCTTTTGTTTTCATTATTTTGAGAGCTTTTGTTATATTAGTTTTGACTTACTATAGAAATACATTACAGCAGACGTTACAGTTCTTTATTTAATTTGATTTTAGAATACAGCCCAGTTTAATTGAAGTAATATCTAAATTGAACTTTGGGATATTGAGAATAGATACCATAGTCGTAAATACATTGGTGTACATATGTACAAGCGAAAAATATGATTAACAAAGAGCATAAAGTTATGGTCATGTGGAATGAGGTCATTGCACCCATGAAGTTAAATTTAGGCATTGTAGAATCGATGACTTCCGTTAGTAATACATGTTTTGCATTAGCACCGAAATAGTATTCAATATCTAGCAATCATATTCACACTTGATTTCGCTTCAGTCAATTTAAGAAACACGAATGATCACTCCGTGCATAAGCTAAGCAAACACTAGTTAGGTGCTAAAGTGCAAAATTAAATAAATGAGTGATCATTGATGTCACACGACAAATGTTTTTCCAATCAATGTCCTGCCAGGCATTCTACAATTCTAATAGAGTGACGTCATAACCACAGCTTTGTCTCACTACTCACAATTGACCAATTGATTCGCAATTCTACTAATCATTGATATATAGAGGTATACGTACTTTATCAAACAGAATGCAGTAGAAACGTCTTGGCGCCAACTAATTTTGTCCTGAATTAACATTTGTTTATAGGAAATAGTTACCTAACGCCTCACTGGCATTGCAATGTGTCCCCAAATGCAGATTAATTTCAGGGACAATGGTAGCGAAGCTTCAACCCGTCCAGCTGAAGACTTTACATGTGGCGATCCAGCCATAACCCTTGGTCCAAACGGCAATGGCAAACCTCCAGCCAACCATTGCTCGTGAGTAATTTGGTCAAACATTTGATCAAACGATTTGTTCGCCGAACTTGTCCTTCGTTTGGCAAAGTTTCATACATTACATTATTATCGTATTTTTATATTATTATATCTACATTATTGTCATACTATTGTCTTGTGTGGTGTGGAATAACGGCATGGGTTTGGCTAACAAATAACGTTTGGCATGTGTGTTAATTTTTTCAAGGGCTTTTTACTTGACCTCAGTCAGGTTTGATATTGAATCTAGTTTGAATCAGTTCTCCGTAATGTGACTGACAATAATGTGGTTAAACACTCTGTTAGTCATAATCACAGAAGTTCACGTAGTATTAAAACACATGGTTTGCACGTCGAGGAAGGAAACTCCTAATTAAAATGGCAGAGGCTACTGTTACTCATGTATGATCAGAAATGGTTTGCGTAAAGTTTATAAATAAATAGTGATTTGTTAAATAAACATTGTTACCGTTGTTAAACATTGTATTATACGGAGATGCCTCAAACATATGTCTTGAACTTTGAAAATGTGAAATAATTGATATACCTGGGTGATTCTCCAAAAAAAAAACCCAAAAAATTAACGGCGTCATTATCCTTAAGCCACAGTTAACAATTTTGCTGATTAAAATACAAACAATTGAGCCATGTCACTGCTCTCACCCAATGCAATAAAATACAGATGCTAATAAGTTACTGCGATGCTTAACAACGCGGGTAGATAATGATTTGTTAAATAAAAGTTAAAGTTTTTCGAAGAAACACCCACCTACACTACATAATAATGACCGAAATGCGAATCCCCATGGTGGTGTTTAAGGAAAATAATTAATAAGTTAATTACTTTCCCACGCATGTATGTATTAGGGTCAAGGCCAAACGGTATATATACAACAGTTAATTACATATTATGTATACATACCATTGTTACCTACTGTAATTACTTAATTGTTCAGCTTCGGAGTGTTCGCAAATCATGCTGGCCGTTTGATATTGCCGATATAGCAAAACATTTAAAATATGGTTTTTGTTCTACTTTGGAGACCATCTGCGTCGATCCATAAGTCGTTATTATCGTTTCTAAGACCTTTTTTCCAATAAACAGGATAGTGATGGGAGGTATTTTGAATAATCCTTCCCTCACGTTCAACGATGGTGTGCGATCGATAGACTATGTGCTAGTATGGGAGGCGTTCAAGGAGGACGCTTCTACGGCAGAAGCCTACGAGCAGAGGAAGATTTTCGAACAGAACCTCGAGCTCGAAGGCTTACAACTCGAACGAGAGGCGCCTGAAAACTTGTATGGACTGAATTTTGTTAAGGTAAGATAACATAACATAACATCATACATAACATCACGCCTTTTATCCCCGAAGGGGTAGGCAGAGGTGTACATTATGCCACTGTACAATGTAACACCCACTATTCACTATTTATGTTATAAGTCCCATGTGTGAATTTTTTTGAAAAACCCAGTAATACCTTGCCCGACACGGGAATCGAACCCGAGACCCCTTGCCCGACAGTCGCACTTGTGACCACTCGGCCAATGAGGCAATCTTGTTAAGGTAAGATGTTTTTAGAACATACTTTCATTATTATATTTTGCGGCTTACTTACGTAATAATTCGACGAGGAACTCGATTCGTTTCAAGCCATCCTGGAGGCTCATATTCATGGGCAGGATTCCACGAACCCGCGACGCGGCGACTGTCGCGCTGCTACTACGTGCGTAAACCGAAAAACATAATAATTAAGTATGTCCAGTGGCGTGCACAGGTTTTCGAGACAGGGTAGGCAACTAAATATCGTATGATTAAACCCCTCTTCCCCCGCCGGTCATACAATCATGCTCACACAAGATAGGTACATGTACATAATACATTTCGAAAAGTGCGTTCAAGAATATTGTGGTGTATTCTTTCGCCAAATTACATACACTGACAACTCGCGTATTTTTTGTGAAGTTCTGAAGAACTTCATCAGCTATTGAATAAGCCAACAAAACTTACAAATAATGAAGGATCTATTATTTATTTTAATAATAAGGCATAAATTTGATGAACCAAATTTCATTATGGAATTGTTTAGTTTAATCAATCTGTTCAAAATCATAATATATTACGAATTTAAGAGCGTACATTATGTCAACAAACAAAACAATAACAAGCGCGGCCGGCTGTGGCCGAGCCGGCCGAGTCTATGCGGTACATATGTTATTACTACATTACATAATTATTAATAATAAATTAATATGTGAATCAGTACAACCCGAAGTCTAAGTTGATATTTTTAAGAATTATCAAACAATAAACAAGAAAGTCAAATAAAAGATCCATTATAGTACATATTTACATTACCTACCTTTTACTTGGGTCAATTCTCGTAACTCGAGTACACCTCTGCCTATGGTCTTTACCTGAATCTAGTCCGATAAAGGACATTTTCTTGCGAAATCTTACTGTTTTTACTTTCAACAAACACATAAAATTACCTATTATTCACACACACTTCACAATCGAATAATATAGGTACTTGTACTAGAAACTGATAAACAAATACACTATTTGAAAAACCTACACATATATTTAACTACTACTACACATTTATGCAACTTTATGTTTAAAACTAATTCCTAATAATTTAAACGAAAACATAAACAAAGCGATCGCACATCACATGAAAACAATATGGCCGAAAACATTGGAAACGAATTGAAGTCATTACCAATAGTCAATTGAGTGTTTATTATAAAAAAATGTAGCTTAAAAATTAAGGTAATGCAGCGTTTAATTTAAAAAAAA